ACTTAAATACCACGGCTCTCTCCTCACTTATTTACTTGTGTGCATTCTAATCCATTCTCTTTTCATGTGTCGTCATCTTTTCATTTTCATCACATTCTTCTCCGCACTTTCCTTCCTTACTTTCCTCCTCGGCCAAGCAATCCTCACCAACTCCTCGTACCTGCTTCATCTCATCCATTCATCTTTTTCTCTCCGATGGGCCGAGTTGTTCAAACGATTGAACCTCAGGAATGCTGTTGTTGCTTCTTTTTCTTTAATACGGATAAATTGGAGAACCATCGTAAAATGTTTCTGAAAATCAGACATCTTTCGTATAAGGAAAGAGTGAGACACAGACTCGTCGCCGTGCTAGAGAGCGAATCATCTCTGATGTAACGGTCGAAATGTTTTTGATCATCGCATCTCGCGGATCCCCCTCCAACAGTTGAGCTCTTCTACTACCCGTACACGTTCTAAATACCGTTTGGAATGTGGTATTGATGATGAAAGGGAAAGTACCTTCCTCACGTTGACTGAGGATGAGTGACGCTGAATGGCTTTTGGCCTGTTTTGATGGCAGGGTAGGGAGATGAGGTGGAATATTAGGACCTTTTAAATTCCAGTCGTATTCGGATCATCATTGTTGGATACGGATACATAGGTATGCATTCGGCACATAAAGAAACGCAGTCAGGGGACCCTTCCTCCTTTCATCGGAGGAGAGAGAAACCATTCCATTTAAAAATTAAAGGGCACCATTCCAGTACTTCGACATCGTTGAAGAGGGAGAGATCCACTGTTGGAATCGTGCCCGTGACTTGGGCAGATTTTATTTTCGACCAGTAAATATTTTTAGTTGCCCACCAAAAGAAAAAAATGTGTGCAGCAATGCAGTGACATTTTGCACATTTTTGTGTCGACTCTGTGTTTGCAGATGTGCAGATATATTCAGGACTACGTTATCCGGGAAGGAGGAGGAAGTTGCTGCTCTTTGTGCAAGTGACATTTTACACAAATTAAAAGTGAAATTCAACTTTAACGCGGACACATAAATATCTACACTCTGGATTTCGACATGTAAAGAGGGCTAGGTTTTTTTAAAACGGAATATTTGAATACCAATAAAATTCCCGAGAAAGTATGCGCGTTAGTGACACCAAGGGGGACAGAAATATCCGTGCGGTTCGGATGAGCATATAGGCAGCCGAGGTATCAAGTAACCATGTCTCAAACCACTTATAACTTGATCCCGGAGCTTTTTAAACTGTCAAACAAGTCAAAGAGTGAAAGATAAAAGGATCAGCGTGAGAAGTATTACACGTATATGTTGTGGGATCCATAGTTGACCAGAACTCCAGGATCCGGATCCGGGTAACCCATATTCACCACCAAGAAAAGTAGTCTCAAATTCCTACATCCTGGTTCAACCAGTTTGCTCCCCTTCGGAAAAGAAGAAGGTTAATACTTGGTTTTTTTTACCTAGCATTTTATTACGACATTATACATACATCGACTCTGCAAAAGTTCATGAGAGAGACGAAAATAATATAAAAGTCAGCTTGCTTGGAACTGAAACGGGACTGGAATGCATGCCGAGGAGTGAATGGACGGAGGGATGATGGGGATGCATTCATTGAATCTTGTATTTTTCTTGCATGTTTGTTCTCTTACTTCCTCGTTCTTCTTATAGCTTCGTTCCGTTCGCCGATTTCTCTTTCTTTCTTTCTCAGGAAATTGGAAGTCTTTAAGTTCCAGCAGGGTTGGTGGTCCTGGAAAAAAAGCCTCCTCCTGCGGTGGTGCTGGTGGTTTGGTTTGGTTTGGTTTCTCCTTTCCCCTCCAGTTGTGATGAAAGCAAGCAAACTATGACTTGCCCCTCATACATCAACTATCTTCCTTGGGAAAAGAAGTAACCGTGTCCACCGCTGAATAATAAATGATAAGCAGAGAGCTGTTTTTAAATGAGGGTAAAACTAGCGGTGGAGGAATTGGGAAAGTATTGGAAGAAGAAGTGAAGGGATGGATAAGACGAGGCATCGGTCGCTTGGAAATGTGGGAAGTTGGGAATTTCCAATGAGATCATTTCCCAGCTTTTCATCACACGAACCAAAGCTATACACGTGGAAGAAGAAGGAGTGAAACTGACACAGAAGAAGATCCGATCTGTCCCAAGTTCTAATCTGTCTCTCTCTCTTAATGGAGGACAAAACGTGACTACGGCTTGGGAGCTGTCCGAAATGAAGTGCTCCGCAGCAGTGGAACGCTCGCTGGATAATTTTTTATTATATTGGACACCGTCAAAATTTATGAGATGGAAATTTGTCCTCCTTGTTTCTAAGAAGATGTGTGATTTATAGGTTATCTAAGACTGAGTCGTTTATGTGTGGCAAGCTCTCATGTGATGTGACCGTTTTGGACGAATTACTTACAACAAAGTTGCGGACATTTGTAGGAAATTTTTTTACGATGAAAGTAATCCGGCCGATGTACACACACATTTCAGTTTTGATAGAGAACAGAGCTGGAGTTGCTAAAATAAAATCCTAAAAACTAGGCAGTCCTGCACATGCTGAAATGGACAGCATGATTTGCTGACCATGACGAATTTATGTTGGAATAATGCCCTTGTTGAAGAATGGTTTGCACTCATTTCTCAAAGTGTGAGAAGATTTAGAGCACCACTCTGTTATGCATGCGGAATGATGGGTTGTGGACCTAATGGCTTAAGGGCAGGGAACAAATGAGAAGGTCTGCTCAATAAAAATCGCATTTTCTTGCACCAAAAATTCACATATTTCAGTTCACAAGCAGCGTCATTGTGGTGGTGTCGATGTGACAAGATTTGCCCAGTGGCAAAAGCTGGTCCAAAATTCTGCCAAGGCAGGCAACTCCTCCTCCCAAGATCCCCTTTTCACACTTCCACTTCGACCGGGGTCAAGAAGACTGAGAGTGTTTAGACAGGCGACAGACAAGTATTGACGCATTGCTCAAATGTACCACGTCCGAGAAAGTGTGTCCACTTCTTCACGATTCATCTCAGAATTTCGGCCGGCTGCACGAGAGACGATAAGTGATTGACGGACTTGAAAGTGAGTGATACTTGTAACTGGAAGTGCATGGTGGGGAAGTTCTGCACAAACAATTGCCACGAAATGGCTTAAGATGTCATGGTTGAACTATATTTTCAATTTTCTTCGTTTGGTTTGGTCTTAGTTTTTTTTCGATACTTTTAGGCGAGGATATTATTGGGCTTGCAAAAAGAAAGTGGCAAAGTGTTCAATTTTATTACTCCGTCATCAAAGAGACGGTTAAGCCGACGTGTCAATAAATTGAGCAATTTTCCATTGAGAGATGATTTTCGTTTCGGGAGGGATCAAACCCTTCATGAATGATTGACGGGAAAATGTTGAGAGGTGAAAACAAAACAACAATGCAGTGAAAGGTCTCGAGAGGAGAAAGCATTTTGATCGTCATTTATTCGTTATTCTGTCCATACTCGAATTTTCAGGACTTATGTAACCGTCGTGTCCGTCCGACGTGACGTAACTCTTGTTAAACTGGTCTGATCGACTTGAGACTTGGTAGACACGTACTATGAGGAAAATTACGAATCAATTTGGAGTCCATCCGGGGACCAGTGGTGCTCACATGCTTACCATTAGTCCTTGGTGCAGAATATTTGGAATTGTCATATTTAGAAGGCTGCTATTTATTCGGGATATTGGTCGTGTTTATGTACTAAACTAAAAACAAGTATAACAACCAAACTATTCAGTTAGTCATGATTGATGGTAAAATGATCTACGTGAAACTGTAGCATTTTTGACAATGGACGAATTTTATACGCTATGCACATTGTATAAGTATCTATTGACCGTGATGTTAAGCCTACTTAACACCCATTCATCTACTCCTATTCATCTACATCCATCGAATTCCTTACTTTCACTTACTTACAATTTTGTATTTGAAATTTGCATGCAGATTGTAGATACATTCCTGTCAAAATTCTCTCTCTTCGACTCAACAGTATTATTTCCCTAGGACTATCTGTAGGATGACCAGGATCCACTTTGTAGTACTGAATTTTTTAAGGCTGCAGCTCGTTGGGGATTATCTCGTCCATAAAAAAACAAGTACAAGTACAGGTTCACAGTCCCCTTCGTTTTCTTGGTGAAGAGAGGAGGCTATTTGCAGGGAATGATATATGCAAGAAGTGACTACCCTCCAAAAGTAGCTTCCTCCTCGGACTATGTACACGACCAGGAAGAATATTTGATCAATATTCCAAGTTTTCCAGCAAAACTCTTTTCTTGGCTCTTAACCTTGTTTTGCTCATCAAGTCTCCCAGAAATTCAACTTGACGTTCTTAAATATGCAATAATTTTAAAAGTTAGGGAGGAACTTTGACCCAATGAAGTGGATCAATTGACTAAACGTGACAAAGTTTTCTCAGTTTAAAGTTATAATCGAATATAGAAAATTTGCATAGTTTCAAAGTTGCAGGATCGCGGAGGTTTAAAAGTTTGGCTAAACTATGGGAAAGTGTTACGTAGGAATGTGTAAGTTTTATCCTCTTCATTACCCTCGATCATCACTGGGCGAGACTATTGATGGAGAAAACGTTGATGAAAGTCGTGTTTGTTTGTCAACCCGACTTTCATTTCAAATCACATCCATCCATCCATCTATTTCGCCTCGGTTTGAAAGTGCTTTTGAGATAGAGCGACCAGCATGAAAGGCAATTTCACAAGGCCAATATTGGAGATCACCCTCTGAGCTTTGGCTTCATTTCGCTGATCGCTGCATACAAAGAGTTTTGACAGCTATGCATGACTGACAGGTATCAAGCAGCTTACGTATAAATCTATTTATCTGCACGTCAATTTTAAAGTGGTTATTTTCTGAAACACGCGAAATTCTACTGCAAATATGTCCTAATTCTACTTCCAGCATATAATAATCTAAGCTGCGATGAATACCGAATGATTGACTAATTCCTCCTGATTTTGATTACTTTTCAGATGGCTTCTGCAAGCACGTATCGAAGTCCTTTGTCAGTCCCGACCCAAATTGATCCGTCGCAAAAACGTGACACGCCCACCAACTTTCCCTCCACGTCCAACTACAATTCTTGCCCCTTTCGCCGAAGTCGTAGTCGAGTCCTTTATGATTCCGAGTATGCAACTGGAACGTCATGGGAATTTCGCAGGATTGACTCGCCCCAATTGTATCAAACGCAAATGCATCTCTCCGTCCTCCGGTCCCCTCAAGTGAACATTAACAGTTCCCGTTTGAACTGCTCCCCGCTTCCCGTGATGATTGCTGACTCTTCTCCCGGAGTTCATCATCACCGGAGCATTCCCTCCCCTCCCACGAAAGACGACTTAAGCGACGGAAGCCGGAACTCGACTGGGAGTTCGACAGGAAGTCATCGAAGTCAGGACTCTGGTTTTTCCGACACTGGAGAAACGAGACCATCTCGACGCAACTTGTCAATAGCTTCGTCTCCCCATCTACTTCAGAATCTCAGCAATTCTCCCTCCCTCCAATTGCAGCACAACCAATTCATGGCCGCAGTGTCGTCCAGGGGTAGCAACAACAGCAACGGGAACATTGTGGTTGACTCGTTTTGCGGCGTGGATTCAAATTTGAATTACTTATCGTCCAATGGAACGTGTCAGCAGCACTTGCGAGGCAGGACATCGGCCACGTTTATCCACACGCACGATCTGAACCACCCACACCACCTTTACCAACAACATGATGCTCATCAGCCTCCCTATTCTCTGGCTAATGGCAACAACCACGTGTACGAATGTTACTCTAATCCAGTACCCAGCCCGATACCGCACACGGGGTCAGGATGCGGCGGAAAAGTAATGACGATCAGGAGGAGTGGATCCACCTTCACGCTGCCCAAGGAAGCTCACACCCCTCACCCAACGGACTACGTCGAGATTAACGGAAATGGTGTCGTGGTTGGTGAAAATTGTTCTAATTGCATCTACCAAGAGATCGTCTTATCGCAGCATCAAAGCCAGTCACCTCCTCCACAAGGAGTCCACTCCTCGTATCATAAGAATGGAAGCAATTCCTCTCAGCAGCAGCAGTACCAACAACTACACAACGTTCATTACCACTTGAGTCAGAATCGGTCAAGTGCCGGAAATTACGCTTTGTACAGCACCATTTCTCCAGCGTCCGACGCAGCGGAACAAAATGGTCACTTGGGGCATCCCATTTGTTCATCTACACCGAAACGTGGAGGAAATCTGTCTCCATCTTCCAATCCTTCCTCTCGATTGTCCATAATGAAAAAGATTGACAACTTTGAAAGCCTCAACAAAAACCAGCGAGCTCTGGACAACAATAACAATAGTAGCAACTCAAACTCCTCCGCCAATGTGGTCAGCTCGTCTCCCACGTCGGCAAAAAAGGTCAAAAATTCTCCAAAGAATCTCAACCATCAGTTGTCCTCAAGCTCTCAGGTTTCTTCACCTGCTCCTTCAACTCCTGCAGCAAATACTTCCTCCTCCTCCACGGTATCGCATTATGAGAAGCATCATAGTAGCAAAGGCTCAAAGAAACACTACAAACTCTCGCTTTCTTCCCTGTCATCCTCCAACCCCCAAAAATCGCCTCAGTCAAACATATCCGCGTCTTCACAAGTTTCAACGAGTGGGAACAAAACCGTGGTGTCGCGGGGACCCCTTCCTCTCCCTCCCACGCCGGAAGCTCATCCCCCACAAACCAGCAGCCATGAAAACAACAGCTTTACTCCCAACGAGGTTTCAACCTATGCTAGTCACTCACAACTCAAGTCGTGTATCAAAAGCAGTCCCAAATGGAAGAATATTCCCAAGGGGTACAAACGCGTGTCCACTCGTGACCTGGCAGTCTCCTGCACGTCCGATGCAGGCGTTCAAACTTGCTCTTCGGACGGGACGATCGTGGTCAAGTCACACTTTGACAACGAATCCATGAGGCTGTGGCTGCACGAATTAAGATCTCAGACAGAAAATGAATGTTTCTACATGTTGCAAACCAAGTCCATAATTTCCGAAGAGGACAATGCCAACAACCAGAAGAAACACCAACAAATGACCACTGTCACTTCCAACGCGTCCGATTCTGACAGTGGGACGTATGGGTCGCAAGGTAGTAGATCGTCGGGATCCGATACGAAGAAAAAATCCGTGGTGGAAGCCATTCACAGCATTTCTGCTCCATTAATGAGCATCAAGAATGTCGAGCAAATGGCCAACGTCGTTTCTGCAGAGTTTGCCAAGATTTGCAAGTAAGTATTTATTATTCACATATGTATAAATTGTACTACACATTTTTACCCTAAATCAGGCGAGAATGGTTTCTAAAAGGTTTTACGAGTTGATTGATTGATAATTGATGTGCATTATTTTACCCCCGAATCACTTAACATGATCTCACCTACAGCACCATGTGTTTAGCGAGAAAAAAACTGTGAGAATGGAAAGGGTGCCATGAATTATGAATGCATGAGCTCTCTTTGACCAACATTGTCAGAAATAATTATATGTTTCTGATTGCGCCAATAACTGGAATCACGATATTCCATTATTCACCCTCAAGCTAATCGACAGTAAGAATAAGACTGCAAACTTTTCCTCAATCGCCTAACACCTGCTGCTGCATACGTGAAACTCGTATCAAAAAACCTGAACAATTAACCAACTAAATAATGATCCCATGCAGCTCCTAATCTCCCACAGTTGTCGAGTATTCCAAAACTGCGGAATAATAAATTATGTGCGAAATCAATCTGCTAAAACCTTTATCTATTCTCACATCGTTTCAAACAGATTATTGATTACACGCGAATAAATCTTGATTTTAATGACTGTCGTGTTAATGATAAATGTTTTAATTTTCCAGAAATATCGAATTTGGTTTCTTATCACAAGTGCCTCGCTTAGTTCAGAACCTTGTCAGTTATGTGGAAGAATTCCTCCGAACGTTTCAAGGAACATCGGTCTTCGGAAATCTTCAAAAGTTGGAGCACAAATTGTCCCGGTCGTGTCGTCGCCTCCACCGATCGGCTCAAGTGATGATGGAGATTTCTGGAAACTCGTCCGAATACAAGCAGCCCACCAGCGTGCATTCCATCATCGAGTCTGAAAACATGAAGAAGGGGGAAGGTTATCACGTCGCGGTGAGCGAGGTGGTCGACGGCATCGTCACGGTGGGCAACCTATTCAGCCAAGTTGTTGACTTGAGACTGACACGAGATTTGACCTGCGTCCTGGACACGGTGGAAGGAGGCGGAGTTCCTGCAAAAGTTGCGCTAAAATCCTTCGCCAACATTCTGATGGACGGAGGCAACCACTTGTGTCGGCTGGCATCCGAGATTCGCACGGTTCGAGGGATGCTCAGTGTCATTTTGGACGCCAAAGACGACTACTTAATAATTCTTTCACTTCGGTGTTTAGCCACCGTTCTCTGCGTTGGAGAAGCAGTCAAGGATTTCGATCGGGTAAGTGGTGCATCGTTTCGTATCCGGTTGGACCACAGCTTGGTGGACCAATAACTTGTTAAAGTGGGGATGCAGAGAGTGTGACATTTCTGGAGAGGAGTGTGTACGTGTGGTATTCATTTCTGGACAAAGTTTCCTTAACGCAGCTACACAGTCTGGCCTTGCTCCAAGATCATTACAGTCAAAATTTTGTGTTTAATGAACTTTGAATGTTTACTAGTAAATTTACGCCTTAAAAAATGGTCGGAAATTCCCATCCACAACCCATCCGGTTAAGGAGACGTATTACATATTTTCGTTTTCATAGTGGTTACACTCATAACCTTCCATCTCATGGACGCGATATTTATGTGGTAAAAATTATGTATTTACCGGAACCGTGATGGCTTTATTACCAAGTCTCATAATCATTTTCAAATAGTATTTACTTTGAGTATGAAATTTACATGGTTTTCATTCATCGAGACGTTGATAAACTATTGACTCATTACTATTAATATTTTGGATAGAACGAGGCAAGGGAATTTCCCTGACCAGAACCGAAACCTAAACCCAAACCATTTTTCGAGCATTTAGAATCAATACCACTCTTGCCGCGGACGTTGCCTATATTTTGTCTGCAAAACCACAAAAGTTTATTAAACCGTGATGGATGAAATAATGCAACTTTTTTTGCTTTCTTAGATCTCTTAACATCTTCAATATGCAATGTTTTTAATGCGAAATGTTTTACAGGCGAGCGGATTCGAAATTGTGGCAGATTTTATGTATGAACCAATGTACTCCTTCGACCTCAAGATTGAAGCGGTTGCCGTCCTGACACAAGCAACGGGTAAATAGTCAACAAACAATGTTTTATATATACGAATACTAAAGGTAAACTATTCTATTTTTTTGCGTTTCGCATCTTTCCCGTCTGCATACTCCTTTGTCCATTTCTTGTTGATGAAATATTCCCGATTTTTTGTTGGAAAATGATGACCAATCGTCTCCAATATTTGCAAGAGCTGGACCTCACAACTTTTGATCAGACGTAATGATTTCTGCGAATTATGGTGACATTTTGAGTTGGTGACAACTCTGGAGGCTACCTTCATGATATGGCCAGTTGGTTCATCCGAACTATAAATTGGGATTGGGACTGCCTTCTCAGGATCAAAAGTCCACCCGTCCAGGAATTGAGATACATAACTGCATCCCGTACTGATCATTACCCCTTTTTTTCATTTTCAGCTGCGATGAAGTTTTTATCAAATATTCTATGTGCGGCCACTTTAACGTCCTTGCATCCTGTAACATCAATACTCATGTCCTTGACTTCCTTTGTCTCCTCATTTATCCATGTTATCATGTACAACTGTTGATTTTTCTCATTATCTAAGATATGAACAACTATTATTTTTTTTATAATGGCAAAATTAATTGAAACTAACCTGGTCGTTTCTTTTTCTTAAATTTGTCATGTTTGACGTACTTGTCCTCACCCTCAGCAAAAAAATTGGCACCTTCAGAGATCATAAAATGAGCATTCTTTACATGTCTAACTAGATTGTTCAAGGTGGCACAAGAAACGTCGCATTCTTCACAAATATAAGGATTGAGGACTGAAAGTAGAACGAATCTCAAATTATTTATTTTTATCCACAATTTGTAAATAAATTGTCAACTTCCACTCACATAAATGCTTTATCTTGATGTGATCTGTAATTAGGGCTCTGTCCCTTACCACAGACTCGGCATTTGTAATTTTTTACTCCATCTTGGATTGTACAGTTTTCCACCGTAATTTTCTGGAAAGAAGGCCCTCTCATCTTCTCATAGTATTCCATCTAAAATAAATAATAATAATAATACACGCAGTACATTGAAATAAATATTTAAACTTACATTTGGCCTGATCATTTCCTGAATGACCGAGTTCGCTGTTTTTTTGCTGGATGAGCTGCAATCTTTGGTAGAGTCCAAAACAGCTTCAAGAATTTCCTTGTACCGAAGAGCAAGAAACGTATCTCTTGCGGTTGGGGAATTACTTGGGGATGTCATTTTGAAGATAACTTTATTTTGTTATTGAGTTAGATAGGAGTAGCATATGGGAGTTAGCACAGCAGTGAGCCGAGTTTTATCAATACGTTGTATGCACGATCAACACAGGCCAGCATACGGAATAAGTGGGAAGGGAAAAATGAGAAGAGTTAAGAAAGTCTCCCCTAGTATAAAATATCGGCATTTATGTCCTACATTTTATTTGTTTTTCATACATTTGTTTTTTTCGAATCTCTACAATATATCACAATGTTCTGCTGATCCCACAATTGAGCCTCAATCTCCTTTCAGATCCGTGGATCGATTTGGAAACCTCGTTAAGTACTTTGGGCGCAAATTTGGAGAAGATCGTGGTAGCGTTGACAAGTAAGGAGTGCAAATTTATCGCCTTGTTGTACCAGGATTTAATATTAAGCCCAACTTTTTACCATTATTCTCAACAGATCTAATTTCTGGCTGCAAATCGTCCGAAGAACCGTTCCTACTCATCGTCGCAGCCATTTCCAACCTCACGTTTTTGGAAGTTTCTTCCGTAGAAATCCTCCGAAGGTGTAATACCGTTTCTTACATTATCAACGTAATTGAGACGACGGGCTGCAACTTTTCCGTCTTTGTTTTGGACCACGTAAGTTACATAATTCCATTCAACGTTGGCAATCGGATGGGATTTGAAATTTTATTTGCTGGCAATTTTAGGTTGCTACTATTTTAGCAAATATGGCAGGCGTTGAGTCATGTCGGGATTGCATTGTGAAATCTGGAGGTATTCATGCCCTGCTCAAATTTCTCCAAAAACGACCCACACCCACTCTCGAATCTGCGGCGGAAATCATGGCGTGTGAACGAGTCCAACAAAAATCTACGATTGCAATGTCAAGGTAACTGCTTATCAAAAAGTTACCCATGAATATCTTATGATGATAAGTGCTTGACAAATTAATTCCCGACAGACTATGTGCCGAGGAAGGGGTGGCTCAGCTTATTCTGGAAAGAGGAGGACTCCATCGACTCATCCAACTTTCTCGTAACGAAAAGGAACGAAATTATTCGGACGGAGTTTTAATCGCTGCTTTGGTATAAAAAAATAGATCCCATTTTCCCATTAGTTCTCCAACTAACACGAAATAAATTAAATGTAGGACTTGTTTTATTTATTTTTTATTTAGGCGACACTACGAAAACTGGTCTCCATTTGTGGCGATGGTGCAATTCAAGGACTGCAAGCGGATGATTTAATCCAACCACGACTTTTGGACTCATTTCTCCTTTACTCCTCTCGTCAGGAGAGCTACGTTTAAGATGACGTGAATTTATACTGTTTAGGTGCATACGTTACACCGTCCAGAATTAGAATAATAATACGTTGTAAAAATAGCACTATTAAATATCTATTACGAATCCTCACCCCGTGCTGGAAATGCATGGAAATTTGGAAATGAATGGCAATTGCAGATTATACATACATGCATAAATATTTAGGTATGTCTCCACACAATCTGAACTGTGTTGTGCATAACTATATTTTAATACGCATTAAAAATAAACAGGAATGTGTCCTTGACTTCCGATCACATACCGATGAATTTTTGCGTAGAATGTTAAGCTCTTCTTTGTAACTCTGATAAACCAAAATGTGCCTTCAAGTTTTTTAGAATCTTGTTCACGCTTTAAAATTTTGTGTGTGCAATTTTCATCGAGTTGTGAATCCAGTATGTTTTTGCGTATGTAGGTAATTTAATTCCTAACTTAACCCTTTTGTAAATCTTCATGCTTGGAATTTTTGCCTCATTTTGGAAACTTTACCTGGTTTTTAAATAGAAATTTGGTACATCTTCATACTTGGAATTTTGTCCGGTTTTTGGAATGTTGTTTCATTTTAGAAATTTTGCCTGGTTTTTAGAAATATTGTTCCTTATCAATTATACATAAAACTATGACTATAACTATGAAAAGGGAGTCCTCTATTTTATTTGCGGTAGGATTTTAATTGATCAGGATTGCCATACATAAAATATATATTTAATAAAAGTACGAATATTTATGAGTGAGGTACATACGTCACGATGAATGACTTAAATTATTAATTTGACTATAATGCAGTAAAATTAAGTAAAAAAAATGTGGGCGAAAGGAAATTCTGCATTGGATAATAAAAGTGCATACATGATAATTTTTTTGTGAATTTCATAACCAATATTTGTTCCAGGTTTTCTCTCGATAATTTCAGAAAATATATAATTTTTGTACAAGTATGACATTATTTGATTGAGATATTGTTTATGCCATCAAACCAAATATGCAAATATTATGTAGCACATCCCCATGAACTTATATAACTTATATAACTTAACTCCACTAAAGTCAACTCGTCAGAAAAGCAAATAAACATTAATTGCAATAATTTTGTACAAACTATCCTTGGTCAGGTACTTATCTTAACATTTTTTTTGTAAATTTTTGTAAATTTTTGCTAATCAATGTATATGCATTGTAATTGTAGTTATTTGTATATAATTTTATAATTAGTTGAGCTTACAGATTGATTGCTATTAATTTAAACCATGCAACATAAATTGTTATTTCAAAGTATTACAATAAATTCAGTCATTCGAACAACTGTGCCTTATAAATCACATCAATAATAAAATCTATCTCAACCTGAGATATCACATGCAAATTCATATTTAATGAGTAATAGAAAACACTGAAAAATTTTACAGTAAAACCAAGGTACAAATCTGCCCAGCCCAACTTTTCCAGGTACACAAATTACAGCTAGTTTGACAATCCTGAGTCTATGCTAATACTAGCTAAACATCATCTTTTTGGTCCTTCTCTTACAGCGTTACTTCCGGATTTCTTGGCGGCGTACTGTAATATTATTACACTATGCAAATTAAGAGTTATGCCAGCCGTAATCTCTGCAATGAGACAAATTTAAATTTAATTATGACTTTCCTAAAAAGTTAAATATTTTCACCAAAGTTGAATCGATTTTAGCTCCATCGTTTGATCCGAAGGGGATGAATATCATGTGTACACATAAGAATGTGGCTGTATTGCATCAACCTTCACATTGACATTGTCTGAATGAGCACGTTTGATCCTGCACATTTATGTACATCGGCATTACTTGCATCTTTCTGCATCCAATAGCAATATGCGGTAAAATTGCTTCAAGTAAATTCAACCCTCATTGTAATCCACACACAGCATTATAAGTATTTATTATAGCATCCCTTAACTACTTAACAGGAAAACTGGCTCGTAACTTCAGGACATGCATAAAAATACCTTAGAAAACGCTTGGTTAACTACTCGGAAAGAAAAATGGAAATAAATATTTTACAGGAGCCGCTAATTATGAGAATACTCTTGTACATTGTTACATTGCAATGTCCTTTTCGTTTTTACCCATGAGAAAATTGAGACATTATGAGAAAATCAGGTGAAAGAAAAAACTGCAAGTTAACTATTTTTTACAAGATATTTACTAATGATTAATTAAATATGTAAGTAGTTGAACCATTTTTTAATGCAGTGGTATAACTCAATCTGAGTAGTCTTACTTAAAAATTGCATGCGCATCCAGCGTGTTGGTTTGTTACATGTACATAACTAACAAGGTGACCATCTTCCATCAGTATCTGCAAAATTATTAGTGCGGCCAGACAAAGTGGTGACTAGAGAAAATAATCATGCTACAGAACGAGAGCTTTTCAACCATCCATCCATCCAGCATGACTTTTGGTCCGTCAGTATTTACTAAAATGGTATCCGACCTACGAATGAATATAAAATCTGAACGTAGTATTGCATGAACCTGACCCACGCATTTCATGTAACTGCACCACTACACCACATCATAAAATACACACCCCTTCACATCATCATAATGAACGAGCTACATATCTATGTACGTCTGCCTCTGCTGACTTACGGTTGCAAAAATAATTTTGGTTTTATTTCCCCAAACATTGGAAAATTGCACAATACACGGAGCTATATCTCATCTTCATCATCATTCCTCACACTCATGAGGCAAGTCCAATGTCCAACTGCTCGATGTTAAATAAAACAATAACGTATGTACATACATATGGCAGCAGACATGGTTGGCTGGGCTTGTATCCAGGCGAATTGTTTGTGTATCTCTGTATACAAAGGTTGCTACATTTTTGCCACAATTTTGCCATACACATGACCACTCAAAGCGTCGTCTAATAAGGGGGCCGTACGTAAAGCGTGTGATCGATGGTGACCCTGCCCCCGTGGGGTGACCTGTACCCGTCTTGTTACGATCATCGTGGGAAGGATAGGACGCCCTGACCTCTACCCCCCTCAAATTCTCCTTCGCTCTGCACAGTCCCCAAGTTGTCGTCGTTTAATTTAACGTGCGGTCCTGACCATGCACATTTTCTCCAGCACCACCACCACCACCACCACGAAACTAACTACTGTACTTACATTGCAGTATTGCATATGATGGTCACATAAATAATTAAGTTGTATCCAACCGCCTTGCACGACATGTATTTCCCCACAAAATCGCCAAGCTCTCTCTCTCTCGCCTTTACGTTTGAAAACCTGTTTCAACTTGGCACAAATCCAAGTAAATTTATACGTGATGAGTATCCGAGTGATTAGTGCGGATGCCTTTTATTCCACCTTGGCGAAAGGCTTGGAAACAGAAATAGCAGCTCAACCAATTTTGATCGGGGTGATGATAAATATGACAACATATGGATGGCGCTAATTCTAGCATATTTATAAACTACGGTAATTAACCAGTTGTCAAGTAAAGTTCCCAAAATAATTTGCACATTATGGTAAAACTGTCCATATAAGTAAGTACGAAATCAAGAAGCTTTAAGGTTTAAGAGAAACATAAACATTCAAAGATTAAACGTCAGCAGATGAACTTGAATAAATCCATATGTATCATTTAGAATTATATAATTATACAATTTCCAACAAACTGAAAGGAAATCCCAGAAATTTCCACATCATTCGAACGGTTTTCGATTTCATAGGTGAAGAGGAACCATCACCTCATAAAATTCAGCTCGTTCAAAAACGATGCAATATTTATGGGAGTGACATTAGCGTTGAAACCGTACGCCATAAAGTGCTGCTTAAATAACTCCATACATACGTCTGCAAATAGATAGGTGTGTGCGTGCATTAGAGACACAATTGGTGCACCTGGAACCTCAGCTAGAATAAATTGACTAGCTTTTTTAAATCCACCAACGAATCATGCAACTTTTTGTGGACCGATGTGATGCTTTTTGAACAAGGGAAATAAATTGCAGAAATTGACTGGAATCTGACCTACAACAACTGGAAACCTATTGGACAAGTCCTCCTCTCTTCCATCCTTATAATAAAACTATTAAATGTGCTCCAGGATAAAAATGTGGCTTCATTTGCCATAAAACTTGGCATTCAAATGACATCAGTTTGTACGTAGTTCTCACAAATTAGCCAAAGTCCTACAACTTATTTAGCTTCCTTACAAGTGTTTCTACATGTGTTCCAGAGTCTGACATTTTACGTATTTAGCAGCCAAGATTTGTCACACATTTCCATAATTTGATGCGAACTTCAGATATCGCAAAAGTGGTGATGGAGATTGAGTAGTCGATCATCGCATGTAATCCGCCGCCCTGTCCGTCCGTCCATCACTCAAGTTTCCACTCCCACAAAATGGAATATGTTAGGAAATAAGTTACAATGCAAATCTGCCGTCTTTTTCCTTTTGTAACTTTATTATTATTATTTTTTTGAGTTTTCGCAATTTGTGTCAAGTTCGCTTTCGATGGGAATTTATTTAATTTCAAAATACAGGAACAAAACAAGGAAATATATTGGTTCTAAATGTATTCAAATTTATGCTAAGTTAAAAACAGATGTGTCAATAATGATGAATATTTACTACGAGATTTTTTTCCAGGTTTGAGCATTTTTTTAAAATAAGTAGTTTGCATATTACTGAAAAAAAAGAAGTTGACAAGCAAGCAATTCGTCATAATGGCCATTAAAAAAATTGCTATCAACATCACTACCTATCTATTTTCAGAATGAATCTCATATCAATTAAGGCTTATCAGCCGAATATAATAATAATCAGGCGATCATTATCATCTGACATTCGGTCGGTCTAATATTATTATAGTTGGTTAAACACATTAAATGTTAAAATGTTAAAATGTGACAGTTTTACATCGCCAGGACTCAGATTTCTCTGCTTTTCAGCCTCAGATGGCGACTTCTTGCCATAATTTCGTAGCAAGTTGTCTCATCCCCACAGAGAACGGACTCTGCTAGGGGCTGTACACAGTGACATTGCCATTCCGTATGGCTGGGCTCACCCTGTCACGAGACAGCACCTACCCCGTACTAACACCGAGCCGAGTAGGATTAGCAATAGCTTCCCGGCCAGAGGAATCGAACGTGTGACTGCGTGGTGACAATCCTACCCTCGTACCTCTGAGCCATAGGGCTTTGCTTGCATTGCGCTGGCTGTCTACATGGCCAACCAAATGATGCATGCAAGCTGCAAATGTTGCAATTCTGATATTTTAGACACATCTCCCAAACAATAATAACACAGATCGAGATAAGTATTTAGAGTCGCAAGTGGGCAACCAAACCAGATTTATTAAGCCAAGTCCTGTTCCAGATCAGCCTCAACTCATTTCACTTTACGACTCCGTATCTCGCAACATCATGCAAAGTGTGATCATCATGTCCAATCAAATAAATGCTGGTCCCCATCATCATCATCCCCAGTCCGACCGAACAGCAGCTTTTTGATGTGATAACTTATTCACTAAATCTGCACAAGAACTTTAAATCCCACGAAGCAGAGCTGAGCATAATCATTCCTCTGGTAAAACTCATGTTCCGCAAGTCATCATATGCTGTAAACCATGGTTATTCGATGTAAAAAAAACACCATCATTAAGCACAGAATTACCAATAGCTAGTTAACCATGTATGCAGGAAAATGGTTGAGAGCACTAATAAGTAAGATGTGTATAGCAGATTAGTTGTATCCATTAGTTGGTTAGTTAACAGGGTGACACAAATTCTCAAACCTTCTGAAGACAAGTTTTCGCAGGAGCTGGAGGAGCAGCAGCACATCCTGTCCTCCTGGTAGGATTGGATAATGGAGATAATATGTAATAGTTGCGGCAGGCAGGAGACATGATGAGCAACAGACAAGTAACCTAGTGCCCTATTGACTTTGACATTGAATAACCTACAATTCAAACTGCATACAATTGCAGAGAGAAGAACAATGAAGCACATTCATTCCGCCATCCATTACATGAGGGATCTGCATGATATTACCATTACACGATCCCACAAGAACACTCCCTTATCCTCCTCTCCGCCTATCTCGCTCTGTATTATTTGCAAAAATAATCGCTCCCGAAAGAACGAGCATGATAGGAACGCCTTAGTGATACAAAAGTATGTATCCAAACACGGACTTTGATTCCGCTATAAATTTGTACTTCAATCCATCACACCGATTTTCAAAATGTATGTATTTAGAAGTGATGATGATATGTAATGGTACGATATTTAGTATTTATTTTCCA